GGCGGCCGGACGCGGCGGCCCGCCAGGCCCGGCCGCCACCGCCGGCCGCCGCCGCCGCCGCCGGCTCCCCCTGCCGCCGTATCGACCTGGTGTATGGGGGCTGCGCAGCGCGCGGCGCGGCCGCCTGCCGGCCGGCGGCGCGCGCAGCGCAGCGTCGCTGCCGGCAGCGCCAGCTCGGCCGGCGCGCCCCGCCGCAGCATCGCCCCAGAGCCGGGCCTCCGCGGCCGGCCGTCACCGCCCGGTCAGAGCTCGGCGGCGGAGCGTGCGTCAGTGACGCGGCCCTCTGTAGCGCGCGCGAGTCCCCTGGCAGACGCCTCCCGCACCGTTCGAAAGCGACGACCCCCGGAAGTGACCCCCGCGGCCCTGGTAAGTCACGGCGAAGGGTGGCGCTTGCTCGGTCGCAACGACCAGCAGCTCGGATCAGATACCATCTAGCTCAATATGTGACCGTGGAACTTTCTCCCGGCGTGACTGCTGTAACATCCTCGTCTTTTTGCTTGGCATGAGCAGCATTTGGCACTTTACTTTGCAGCATTTAGCGCTTTACACATTTTGTTTGGCTATGAACAACATTTCATCACATGTACATGCAACATTTGATAACAACCTGAAACAACTATGGAACTATGAAACCGCCTATGTACCCGGGTACCTGTTTAAACATGGCGAGACTTGCTCAGCACTGGCACTAACCCGCTTTCAATGTATTCCATGCACACAAGCCTGGATGTATAGCGGACGAGCACTGGCTGCATATAGATCAGGCCCCGCGCCGCTCCGCTGCCGCTGGTCGCCGGCGTCGATTCAGCATCGAATGGTGGTACCCCGGGACCGAAGTATGTACTTAGTTTGTACCAGTTTGAAGTCCAGAGTGTGGGTGGGCGGCTCTCCGTACAGTCATCGCGCGCACATGCACTTCGATGTCTGAGCAGTGGTGAGCACGCGTGCATGCACATGCACAGGGATTTCTTTCTGGTCCCATAAGGGTGGGGGACACCGCAACTTTGAGAGAAAGGTATGTGAAACCACTTTTGTAAATTCTGGGGCTAGGCTTAACCATTTTTCCACTCAGCCCGAATTTCTCTACCGAAGCTATGCCCTCGCACATGCCTATGCCTCAATGTGACGAGACGCACAGTGACGCTGGACAGTTCATCCAAAGTTGCATAATGTAATGTGGCCAAACATGCCCAATTTGGTATTTCATGTAATACGGTTGGAGTACTAATTACGCATCGTCATTGCTGACGTCATCATTGCTTGAGGAGTGTCGCGCGGCCACTGCAGCCGAAATTCGTTCAAGTGCAATGTGTTGACCATACTGCAGAAATGCAACGACATATTATAATATGAGAGCGGTTGTCACACTGAATAATTCTGGCCTTCATTTAACGGTATACATTACTGCTGCCATGTTTCTTTGCACCTTTTCGTATCATGTCCACTAATTCACTTTCGTTAAACGGAACTAATAAAAAAACATCGACGCATGAGTTTGTCCAGAAGAGAAACCTAGTGTGACAAACAAAAACGAAACAAGGGGTTCTGCCACAATTGCAATGCTCATATCGTATGTGCATTCCGGGAAAAGATGCAAATTTTTGGTGCCTCTTGAAGATGTCGCCTATGATTGAGACTGATGTAAGCGCCTCAACGTTTCGGTCGATGTGTCAACGCCTCGCCCCCGTCAAACGCGAAAGAGAGAAACACGGAAGTCGGAGACAAGTTGGTCGGCGTTCTTCTGAATGCAGTACAGTTATGTGCATATTGCAATGCGATTCAATGGATTGTATGCCTTTGAGAAATCACTACATTGCTACGTAAAACTGGTGCAATATAGCCAACTTAGAATATAGGCAAATCGTGTTCTTTCCATGTTTTTCGACTACTCCGTTTCTAATATGCCGTTTAAGGCGTTTGTTACAAACGCTTGCTTAGACGGTGCATGAAGCACGAATGGTGGATTTCTTCATGCACTTGTCCGGAGCGGTCCTTGTTTCAAGCCTTATGATGTCACTTACTAACCCTCAGAATCATAGGCATACGGTCCTGGCATTCGTAGTGCTCGATATTATCGTTAGATAATTGTCCTCCACTTCAAGCTTCGTGTGGCAACGACATGCCGTTTGGAATCGTGTTGAAATGTCAGTCCTTTTTAACATTGACTGATGAAAGTTTTCTTTTCTTTGGACAGCACATACGTTTTTGGTACCTAACTGGATTTTCACCTTCGTAATTATTTCAAGTATTCATGGCCGTCTGAAGTTGCCTGAATCGTTCGTTGCAGTTCGTCAACGTAACATGTGCGCATGCACTAACCCATTCATGCACACAACACTGTGCATAAAGCAGAACTTTTGCATGGCTGATACCGTGCAAAGGGATGTTCATCAGCTTTAAAATTGAAAATATTTGACTGGGCTCAAGCTTAACTGACATGTTGTTGAATAGTAAAAAGCGAAGGATTGTGAAGTAAAGAGGAAAATCTTTTATAATGTTAATGCTGCTCCAAAGGTTCTGTGATGTAGCAGTAAAAGACTAGTCAACACCAGCCTCCAGGGGCCTATATAAGAACATCGAGAAAAAGCAAACAAGTGGGATGCGTCTCGTGTCCATCCCTCAGGTTCCTAGATCCGAGAACAGCGTCAAGGGGTGGGACGTCGGGCAGGAAATTCCCTCGTAGCAACTAGAGGGATGTCACCCGTATTGAGAATTGCCATCGACAACTGTTTGCGGATTGTTTAAAAATCGACTCTGCGTAAATTTGGTTCCTAGTACCTGGGGCGCGAGAACATCCATGCCATTATCTTTGTTTTACCGGACACCGAGTACGAACTGATTTCAAAACTTCAAAGGCTCCCCACCGTGTTATGCCTTATTTTATGCATACTTATCATCACGATTATAAGGGGAGAAAAATATGCTAGACCCTTTGAATACCAATCTGCGTTACCGCAAATCATTCACTCTTGCGGAAGCATGCCAACTCTTACGAACGATTTCTTATCATTAAATGTGCGTTGAGACCTGGGGCATATTTTAACAAGACAGTTGGACTTGGGCAGTAAACAACATGGGCTCTGCCTTGTGTTGATCAGCCTATTTCTTCTAGGACTTAAGACACTTTATTTTCTCCTTTTGGAGGAAGCTGAGGCGTTATTTCGCAGTTCGTTTGTGTGCTGGAACGTGTATTGAACTGATGATCTGGAATGCTCCTTGAGCTGGAATCTTAATTGAGTATCGTATCTAAAAAGTGAGACCCCGCTCTGCCAACTTGGGATTTTTAAGTTGCAAGGTGCTAGCCTCCAGCTCCTCCCTCCTTCAACTTCAAATGCGATCCTTCAGCTCTGATTGCGATCGAACCATATCAGCAACGGACGCTTACTCTTTATTCTCGGAATGGGGGCATTCCTCTAAAAGTCCTACTGAGCTGCATTCATTACTGCTGAAATGATTGGTCCCACACAGTTGCTGCTTTTAAGTCATGCATTCCAAAGCTCGCGACATCTTCTCCCGATTCCCATGTGATATTTACTTTTTGAGAGTAGCTGGATCTTCATGCCACAATATTCTTTCGAAATGCGGTTCCAGCATGGGATCATGAGAACACGGTACGCTTTAGTAGTGCAAATGCCAGCATCCAAAATTAGCCTAGGACATATCGTTGCGGCACCTGTGAGAAGGCAGCAAATTTCGCAAAAATATGAGTTTCCTTGCTTTTGTGGATGCTTC